ACGTGCTCGCCCACTCAATAATTTCATTCTCGTTTACATCTAGATGTGTATAAGAGACAGGAGAGAGAGAGAGAGAGAGAGAGAGAGAGAGAGAGAGAGAGAGAGAGATGTTGGTGAGAAAGCCAGCACAAAAGCAATCCCAGCTGTAGGTAGGGAGATAGAACACGTTCATGAAAACGTGCTGATCTCGTCAATTACGCACTACACGCCTTGACAACAAACGGTAGGGGCGATGGAAGTTAAAAAATTGAAAACTCTGATATGGGCGCAAAATTCGAAGTTGAAACTTGTTGAAGGGAGTGGCAATGCGTGGCTTGGTGTTGTGTTGTGCTCCCTGCAAAAGCAAGTCTTTGCGATATAGATTCACTAGTTTACTTAAACCATCCCTGTCCCGGGCCGCAGCGGAGTTGCCGGCCGGTGCATGATGAGGCGACACTTCCGGTTGTACCTGCCCGCCTCCACTGGCTTTCATTTGTTCATTCATACTGCCATTTTGCCTGTTAGAGGCCAACAGAAAGCTCTCTTTTCCTTCTTCAATTCCTTGTGCAGGGGCCATGCTAATCTTCTTTGTATCGCTCGTTACTAAACCACCAGTACGTCTGATGCCGTTTCTACCAATCTGAAAACGTGCTGTACGGCAGAAAAGAATGGACGGGCGTGGGCACTTTTTTTTTTTTTTTTTTTTTTTGCCTGGCGACACCGGCCATGTTGGTCTGGTAGGACTGTTCATCCGAAGGTTGCACTGCATGCAAACTCACTCTTTTTTTCTTTTTTCCCCCCGGCTTGCGCACTTGTGGTCTAATGGATGACCTGGCGGACAGCAGCAGGTGTTTTTTTTCTTCAACTTTTCACAAATTCAAACAGTGACAAACTCAATTTGCAGGAATTATGATCAACAATTAAATTGAATTAATCATTAATGTCAATTATCCCCATTTGGCGTTGGCACAATTTTGCAGTGGTCTTTTAAACCTTCAAAGCAATGTTGGGCCGTCGCCCGGCCAAGCACGCCTGGGCCAGTTGGACAGAGGGTGGGTCGCCCCGCAAAACCAGACAGGTCAAAAAGGAGGCAAGGATCCCCCCCCCAAAAAAAAAAGACTTCAGGCCAGGAGTGCACTTGGCCTAAGCAGTCAGAATCCGGCCTTGGATTCGGTTTTGGTGATGGGTCATCCAGGGGGTTTGCGGGGTCTAAACAGTGACTAATGGCCTGGCTGGGGGAATGGAGAGGCCTTTAACAATAGAGATGGACTCATGTTTTCTCATTTACTTTGTTTATCTTAAAATTAACAAGGAATTTTGTGGTGGCCCTCAGCCAAAAGTCGTTTGTATCTGTGTTAGTCCCCGGGCGGCCCGGTGGGGGGAAGGTCGCCCGGGTACCCTCCCGGGCGACCCAGACCGAGCAGGGCCCGGGCGGGGTCCCAGGCGATCCCAGCGCATAATATTTTAGAAAATAGAAAATAAAAAAAACTTCCAAAAAATCCCAAAAAAAAAATGTTGTGTAAAATTCCAATACAACGACTTTTTATGAGCTCAGCAAATATAGGGTTTGGCAGTTTAGGGGTTTTAAACCACCACTACGTAGGACGCTGTTTTTCATGAGCCTCCAAAGCGCTGCGCGCCAAAGAAAGAAAGGAGCCGGCGTGGGCCTGGTTTTTCTTCTTTTCGGCTGGCGGAGCCAGCTCTCTCTCTCTCTCTCTCTCTCTCTCTCTCTCTCTCTCTCTCTCTCTCTCTCTCTCTCTCTCTCTCTCTCTCTCTCTCTCTCTCTCTNCTCTCTCTCTCTCTCTCTCTCTCTCTCTCTCTCTCTCTCTCTCTCTCTCTCTCTCTCTCTCTCTCTCTCTCTCTCTCTCTCTGTGTCTCTGTCTCCGTGTGTCTCTGTCTCTCTCTCTCTGTGTTTCTGTCTCTCTCTCTCTCTCTCTCTCTCTCTCCCCTTTGGTGTGCCAGGTTATGAGCCAGTTGTTTGAGAGGGTACAACGGGGCAGGGTGGGACCTTGTTTTTAAGTGAAAAAACGTTGAATGCAGCGGGCTTATGGGCACAGTGCAGTCCTATATTCCTGAATCCTCTCCATTCCGTACTTCTCATCAATCCTATCTTTTTTTGTTTTTTTTGCTCGGAATTGTTGCTTATGGTGTTCCCTGTGCAAAGTGGCGAACAGGCTTAGCTGTGTTCTGCTGTATGCCAACCACACTTTCAAGTGGCGTCTCTCTCACCCAGGTTTGCAATATGATTTTTACTAAATTTCGAGGTTTTCATATTTTGGTGGAAGAAATCTGTCAACGTGCATCCTCCTTTTTTTTTTCTTTTTTTTTTTTGTAAGTGAGTTTGTTGTGAGCCCAAGAATCGTAGAATGTAGGATGTCATTACCCAACCTTTTTTTTTTTTTGGTTACATGAAATGATCGAAATGACAACGAAATCCGAAATTCCAAATTTGTTAATAGCTTAACTTAATGTAACCTTCTGTGTTAATGAATATTAGAATATGCGGGCCAGTGCCCAAGGCTGCAGACTCGAAGCGCCTATATTTCCCCATCTCTACTTCTCTTTTTTTTTCCCCTCTCACCTCTAATGCTTTTGTCCCCAACCCCTGCCACATTGAGTCCGCTGCTGTTCATGACCTTAGCGCTGCAGCTAGCCCCTTTTTGTGCCCCTCAGATATTGAACCCTCGCCCTTAAAACACCAGTGCTTCCGAAAGTCGAGGCCGCATGCACGCCGCGACCCGCTGGGATGAGCGGGCATGGGGCGCTGCAAAAACTTCATTCAAGGGTAAATGTTGCGGCACTGTAGCAACGACTGGCGACATGCATGCCGCGACTCTTGGAAGTACTTGGTGGTTCGAGCCTCAAGGCACCATCACCCCCAAACCGATGTTGCCCCACCTCCCATGTTTTAGCGACTAGTCCGAGTCTGTTACATTCTATATTATGTGACTGATATGAGGAAGATTGGATTCTGATTGTGAATGGACCTTACCTTATTGTTTGGCCAAGAACAGATTTGTAGAGCTTGGTGATGAAGTGTTTTGGTTGTTTGTGCATAGTACTGCATACCAATTTAGAGCATGGTAACCCCGGACCCGGACACTGGACACTTCCGGACTGTCTTCCGGACCAGTGTCTGGACCGGTCCGGACTGTCCGGTGATCCGGACATCACCGAACACCGGACAGTGCAGACCGCTCCCCGGGGTGCAAAAATGTCCGGACCCAAAAAAAAAAAAAAAAAAAAAAAAAAAAAAAAAAAAAAAAAAAAAACGGGGGAAGGGGGGTGGTTGGGTGGCGGTGTTGGCAGGCACTTACCTGCTTTGCACTCTGTAGTTCAGGCAGCAGAGCACGTGTCTTGCAGCAAATCAACCAGCACAGCTAGATGTGTATAAGAGACAGTTCTCTCTCTCTCTCTCTCTCTCTCTCTCTCTCTCTCTCTCTCTCTCTCTCTCTCTCTCTCTCTCTCTCTCTCCCAACGGGCAGCAGCGGCGGGCGCCACGTCGAAACGGCCGCTTTGAAATTGCTCGGGCCTGTGCGAAACCCGCCACCTCAAAAACCTGCAGTGTCTTGTCTCTAGGCCATGTCCGGTGGGGTGAAAGGACACTTAAAAATCACCCCGTCATTTTTCGAGGGGCGGCTAGGACCCGATAAACGTCCTGGGCTGCCCCATTTTTATTTTTATTTTTTGCCCCAGGGGCCTCCATCCGGACACTGGACACCAGACACCAGACACCAGACTGTCTGGAACCCGGTCCGGACGTCCGGACGGTTACCATGATTTAGAGCTTGTGCCTTTATACGGCGGGGCATTGGCGGCCCATTAAGAGCTTTTACATGACTGATCATTGGAGAATATCCTCGGAGATAGGGTTTGTGCTTTTATATGGATGCCCATTTGGTCCGGAGCTTTTATAAGAATGGAAGGCACTCCTCCTCCTCCTTCCAAATCTGTGTATCACGTGCAAGGATCTGGGTCCTCGGCAGGCCTAAGAGGGCCCCTACAGCAGATGTGCCCGCCCTAAGTGAAGGCGGGCCTAACAAATCACGAGAGGCCCTCAGCTGTCAATTTCGTATTTGGGGGATCCAGGCAGTTTCGACACGCCAGTTGGTTGAGGGAAAACGCAGGCTGAGCAGCACCACAATCCACAGCCTTCTGGGCCTTTCCAAGAATGCAGGCCCTGGGAGAGAATCGCAGCCTCGTACACTGACAGTTGTGAGGCCCAACCGAAAGAGGCCCAGTAGCTGCAACACAAGCGCAGCATCCTGGGTCCTACCGGAAGCTTCTGGGCCCAGGCCAGTCCAGCCAGGCTGCGAAAGCAAGAAGCTCTTTCCATATAGGAAAGAGCTCGCCACTGACAGCCTCATTAAGGCACTCGCATGCTAGCGGCAGCGCTGCTGGAGCGGACGCTCGTGGGCTGCTCCTGGCGCTGAGAGGCTAGGTGCTAGCGCGTGCGGTCGTGCAGGGAGCAGGGTGCTGCTGAGGGCAGCGCCACAGCCCAGCCTCCATAGCTGGTTGGGCTTGGACTACAGTGAGGCGCAGGGGTGGTCTTCGGGTGTACAGGGGGAAGACATGGGTGTAAGACGAGGGAGAGAGAGAAGGATGATGATGATGATGATGTGAGGGCACATACCTGGTATTGGCGATGGTCTGCTACGGGCGACATCTTCAAGTACTTTGTGGGCTGCTGACGTCAATAGTTGCATTGTTAATTAGTAGGCAGACTGTAGTAGGCTGGGCGCCGAGCGCCACGTAGGAGATAGGGCCTGGACACTCATGTTGGTGGTGGCGAGAGCCAGCTCTCATTGACATTGGTTTTCAGTGTTACGATTCTTCATTGGTGTTATATTGGTGCATTTCTGCTGGTCTTGTGCTTGGGCAAGGTTGCTGGTCTTGTGCTTGGTCAAAACAGGTTGCTGGTCTTGTGCTTTGGTCAAAACAAGATGCTGGTCTTGTGGTTCTCTCCTAATGAAAAGCAAGGAAATTATTTCCTTTTTCTCTTTTGAAAATTTTGCTGATATACGGTGGAACCTAGAAGGCGAAAGGATCTCGCTTCCTTGTCCCCAATGTCCCCATCATAGTATAGAACTAACTCAGTCAGACCAATTTCTCAAGAGGCAGAGCGAGGACACTCGTCGACGACACATCAACAAAATGCCAAGACCAAGCGGCAGCGTCAAACCCGAAAATGGTGTCTTCCAGTAAAATGACCCATGTCCCCGACGAACACATCAGATGATGAGAAAAATGGTTCCTACCTAGGCTACCACCCGGGCCGCATGGGTCACCCTGTTTTCCCGGGCGGCCCGGCTGTGCAAGGACAAGGGAAGGTCCCAGCAAACAAAAAAAAAAAAAGAAAAAAAAGAAAGGGCCGAAAGAAAACTGTGTAAGAGGGAGATACCTGACATCACAAAGAACTCACAAAACAAAATTTCAGAAAACAATAATAATATTTAGGTGCAAAAATATTTTTTTTTGCGGGGTCCGAACCCCTTCAGGTTCGGGCCCCGTACGGGGACCCGAATGCCCGAACATTCGGGGGTCAGCTTAGGGGCCTCCGTACGTTCGGACTGGCATAACACCTTCAAGGGTTGTAGTGGTTCCGATACTTCGTTCCTGTGACGGAGGGTGCCGTTTCGAGGCCATCCGTGCACGGCAGGGTATGATGCCCTAAACACACGTTGTTCAGTAATCACATCGAAATTCTTTACCAAATTGAAAAAAAAATAAATAATAATGTATCTTTATATACTAATAATATACATATATACAGGGTTCCCAGTCCGAACGTTCGGAGGCCCCTAAGCTGACCCCCGAATGTTCGGGCATTCGGGTCCCCGTACGGGGCCCGAACCTGAAGAGGTTCGGACCCCGCAAAAAAAATATTTTTGCACCTAAATATTATTATTGTTTTCTGAAATTTTGTTTTGTGAGTTCTTTGTGATGTCAGGTATCTCCCTCTTAATTTTGAAGCCATTCTGTTAAACCAAAAAAAAAAGAAAAATCGGCAAAGATGGTGGTGCCAAAACTTGCTTACCCACTCACTAATTTGTTTTTTCTCTCTTTTCACTTTTTGTTTTTCCTTTATTTCGGGGCATGAAAAAAAATATTATTTTTTCAAACTTTATTTGTATATTCTCTATTATGCAAGATACACATATATAAATTTTCATGGCATTTATCACAGCCAAACAATAAAGAAAAATTGCCAAAGATGGCGGTGTCAAAAACGTGCTCGCCCACTCAATAATTTCATTCTCGTTTTATTTTTTCTAATTTTCATTATTACTATTTATTTTTAGCATTTGATTTTTATTTCAAATTTGGTAAAGCATTTTGGATGTAACGTTGGGGCAAATGTTGTTTAGTTTATTCTCTGCATAACATATATTTTTTTCAGATTTTTTTGGAATTCTTTTTTTTTTTCAGTCCGCAGGGTGCCGAACGTTCGGGCGTTCAGGTTCGGGCGTTCGGCCCATCCCGAACGCCGGCAACCCTGCATATATATATATATATATTATTGGCCTGGCCGGGCAAGTGGTCCCGGGCCACTCTGGTGGTAGCCTTGGTTCCTACGACGACATGAAAGCCATGGAATCCAGGCAAGTGGTCCCGCACCATTTTTTTTAGCTAAAAAGAATGTAGAACTTGTCCTTCGCGACATCCAGTAAAATTGGAACAATACAGAGAAGGAAGATTAGCATGGCCCCTGTGCAAGGATGACACACATGAATCGAGAAATGCTCCAAAAAAAAAAAAAAAAAAAAAAAAAAGATCCAGCCATGTATCCCACATTCGCCGTCTGTGTTTTGCTCTGCTCTAATCTACTTATGGGATGCGTATGCTTCACTCGCAGGCGGCCGGTGCGAACACGGCAATCGCGTTGGGGTTAACCGTTGCGTCCAACCTGTTAGGAATATTTACGGTACGTGATTTGAACGGATCTCTCTCTCTCTCTCTCTCTCTCTCTCTCTCTCTCTCTCTCTCTCTCCCTCCTTTCTTTTTTCTTCTTTTTTGCACGCGGCTGTTCATCGGATGACAGTTGACTTTCTAGTCAGATGAAGGAAAAGTTTGAAAAACGCAAACTCTGCCCCACCCATATCGCCGTGGACTCACTGATCAAGATATCCTGAGAAGCTAATGAAATATCATTTTTTTTTTTTTTTTAATGTTTTTTTTTTTTTTTTGTTTTATGGTTGTTTTCGTTGTTCACGGCCTTCTGGGTTCTTGTCTTTTGTATATACAAGTGGAACCCGCCACGGCACAGCAACACTCGCTGATGGCGTTTTATTTTTGTTTTATGTCTCTCTCTCTCTCTCTCTCTCTCTCTCTCTCTCTCTCTCTCTCTCTCTCTCTCTCTCTCTCTCTCTCTCTCTCTCTC